TGGTCGCGACTTGACCGACTACCTGATGAAGATCCTCACCGAGCGTGGCTACTCTTTCACCACCACCGCTGAGCGTGAAATCGTGCGTGACATCAAGGAGAAGTTGTGCTATGTTGCCCTGGACTTCGAGCAGGAGATGGCCACCGCCGCCGCCTCCACCTCCCTGGAGAAGTCGTACGAGCTTCCCGACGGACAGGTCATCACCATCGGCAACGAGCGTTTCCGTTGCCCCGAGTCCCTGTTCCAGCCTTCCTTCCTGGGAATGGAATCCTGCGGCATCCACGAGACCGTCTACAACTCCATCATGAAGTGCGACGTGGACATCCGTAAGGACCTGTACGCCAACATTGTCATGTCCGGTGGCACCACCATGTACCCCGGTATTGCCGATCGCATGCAGAAGGAGATCACCTCCCTGGCCCCATCCACCATCAAGATCAAGATCATCGCTCCCCCAGAGCGCAAGTACTCCGTCTGGATCGGTGGTTCCATCCTGGCCTCCCTGTCCACCTTCCAGCAGATGTGGATCTCCAAGGAGGAGTACGACGAGTCCGGCCCCGGCATTGTCCACCGCAAGTGCTTCTAAGCAGTTGCCTAGCACCACCTGCACCACCCGGTGTCACCTGTCTCCTGCTCGCCTGGTTCTACTTCTGGTGGTTCTGGGCCTGTGGGCGGGGGTGCTCCACCGCCAAAAACAACACCATCCACCCATTTGTTTTTGAATGTCATTATTTACCAACGTGTCATCCTTGGTTCGAGAATACTCTTTTGTACTGACTGAACACAACACCATCAATCAATGAATTATCAATCTAAAGCCATGGACCGCGATCCCCATCCACTTGTTAATCTCTCGCGGCTTCCCTTAAATGTTGATCGCCATTTGATTGTTTTACGATGAACCGACACCCTCATGTATTTTGTACAGAACCTAACAACGTCCCCCGGTAGAGCGGATGGGGTCTATTGACTACGAAATGTAAAATAATCTCATGATTGTAATATTAATTAAAACAATTTATAATTATTTATAAATAAAAACGATTTTTTAGATTTAATTTTTTCTAAAAACATGGTGATTTTGGAAAAAATTTGGCAAAGGGGGGTTTATCCATCGGGATATAGTATCCATTCACAAAAGCTTTACCACGAGGTAATCATTCCTCAGAATAAAGCTTTCCATCGATCAGCATTTGAGGATATCTATTTTGAGCTCTGTGCTTTTCCGCTTCCAGGCGGGGCGTTTCAAATTTCCCAAATACCACCTCAAAAGCTTTCTCGGAATGCCAAAAATATTCCCCAAATATTTCTTGTGTATGCGGAGATTTTGAAACGTTTTCTGGTATTTTTAGACGCATTCCAAAGTGGGAGCAGAACTGAAATGGTTTGTTTATGCCAGGGGGAAATACGATAGGGCGAAAGCAGATGACGCAAGTCGGATGATCAAAGGCGGCAACGAAAACAAATTGCCAATGTCAATTTGTTGCCGCTCTGAACTGATTACCAGAAATGCATTTCATTCGGGGAAAAAAGATGAAAAATTCTATGGCCATGCCAGAGACAAATGTTCTCGCCGAGATTGCCAAGACAATTAGTCAAGATGGCGTTGGGCCGTTTAATTAGAACTCGATCTGCATTATGAATGAAATTTGTATTCGCGGTCGTCGCATGTCGCCGACCCTGTTGCAGTTGCAATTTCAGTTGCATCCACGCACAAATGGGTAATTAATGGGCCCGAATCACTGGCACTTGGCCAAAAAAGGGGAAGCGGCGACAGATGCCGCTAATGAGTTGCATAGTGAGATGTGCAAAAATGGGCGCAACTTTTACGACCGGAATTCACTTTCTCAAGCGAATCACTTTACACCGGGCTGCACAACAACAAACACGGAATTTGGTGTTCAGACCGGGATCAAATCCCGGAATGAGAACTAACCAACCCCCGAAGTAAGCTTGGCCCACTAATCAATTTGCACAAAAACAAAAATAAACACGCACACAATGTCGACGTCGCGACGTCGTCATAATGCAATTTTCAGTTCTTAATTTCCATACAAATTCGATTTAAAATTCATAATAAAGAGCGCAAATATTCGAAATCGAGTAAGGCACATAAGTACCTCCGCCTATGTACGACTTCAAACTTCAAACTTCAAGTATGCCGCACAAAACGACCCATATGGTCAATTAGTATGACTGCTCTGGCTGCCAACCAACAATGAGGGCATCAAGTTCTTCAAGGCGCTGCAATATACTCGTTTTCGTACTCGAACTCGTATTATATGGAGACATCGCACACACCCCAGAGCACACACATTGTTTTCACTTCAATTATTATCGATTAAGCTGCAAAGCCACCAAAAATCCGAATATAATAAAATTCAAACTTGAGTTCACCGAAGCGTAAAGTGTTGGAAGCTCTGAGACTTGAAAAATGTTTCTTGAAAAGCGATTCACTAATTCTATGCACTGGTAAAATTCATGTTCGCTCGTTGCTAAAATTGGCGAATGAATTATTTGGTTTTCGATCGACTTGAGTCAATGTTTAAAATCGTCTTTAACTGTAAGTTCATGTTTTTGTTTTCATTACCTCGAACATCACATTAAATTTTTACAACAATTTATTTTTCAACTAAGAACTTTTTTTCAACTAAGAACGTTTAACAAAAAAACTATGATTATTTAACTGCTATTTTATATAAAAGCCTTTTATTTAAATAACTGTTATTTAAAACTTAAAAAACGTGAAAAAAATAAAATAAGTTTGTAATTTGCACAACAAATATGTAATTAAATGTAAATGGTTGTAAATGGTCAACAATTTTAAACTAATTTTTAATAATAAAAAAATATATATTTTTATTTGTCCTATACCTTTTTTTTGAGGGCAGTAATTTTTTTTATAAATATGTGATTAATTATGTTTTTCCAATAAATTATTACCGCCTGCATTTAAATTGTATATAATTGCCTTCACTTAGGCTTAGTTTTAAGTAACTACCAAGTAATTTAATTTTAAATTCAAATTTATAATTATAATAATTATTTTCTTTTGTCAGATTTGTTTAAAAGCTGAACAAAAACAATTTTTTTGTTTTATCCCAATTAATGTGGATTTTAAAGGCAAGCAGGAACAATTTAAAATCAGCTTCGAGCAAGGCAATTTAAATTGATTGATTTAAATTTTTCCCATTCCCACTGGCATTCAAACACCCCTTCCCCGTCCGCAAGACTGACTGAAAATATAAATCGCGGGGATAATGAAAAGCGTCACATTTGATTGCATTTTTTGTGTGAAATTGGGCTGACAATGTTCGCATTCGCTGACCAAATAAAAATAAAGAAGAAAAAAACGAGCGATCCGAGCGGAGGAAGGCCAACTCACACGGACAAAGGGGTGGTGCATTCACGTGGTTAACACACACACACACGCACATATATGTATATTGGGGGTGATTGCCGTTGACGAACAGGCAAAAGGGTGCAGCCCATTCGAACAGGAACAGGACCTGGCCCAGGACCTCGACGAGGCCGTGTAAACGTGTTAGGGCAGAACAAAAAACACAAAACAAAAATGTGCACTTTACGCAATTTATGTGCAAATTTTTCAATGACTTTAAAGCGATGCAGGAGGGCTGATTGACTGGCTGGATGGATAAGTGACAAGGGGGATGGACCGGCCAGTCATTATAATCGCTCGCTAATTGACTCTAATAGACTTGGTTCGATCTGGGGGGTGGTTGCACTGACCTCCCCAACCCCAACCAACTCTGCCGTGCAGGAATATTACTTTCCAAACCTTTCCTAAACCGAGCATTAGCTCAAGTACTTTGCCAGTTTCTAAGGAGCTGGCTCAGCGAGATCTTTGGCTTAAGCAGCTTGCCCGAGAAACACTTTAGCACGTAGCCGTGCATTATGTGTGAAAAGTAGCCATTAGAAAATTGCCCACAAATTAGCACAAATAATGCGAGCATTTAGCAATTTGAATAAGCTGCCGCACCGAAATCCCGAATCCCACACACACTCGCATTTATCCCCTCGACCTTTCACCTTTCACCTTTTTCACATGTCCTAAGTCCTCTCACACACATGAGCCATGGTAATTATGCGCCTGATTTAACTCTACTTTGGCTGCACAAATGACAGTTTCACACTGCTTTGTTGTCCGACTGGGCCTTTCACTCCTAGATATTTCTCTGTTATTTCAAGTGTCGCGCACTTGAATTCTCGGTCATGTCCTTGAATCTGCTCATGCAGAAAACGAAAAAAAATAAAACCAAAATCCTCAGCAGGACGAAGCGAACAAAAAATGGCTCCGCTCATCGAAATATGAGTTCATGGATGTTGACGGCGATCAAACAAAGGACTTTCGGGCAAGGCCACGCCTCATCAGAGCTGCTTTTTTCCTTCTCTGCCCACTGCTGAGGAAATGGCCAAGGAAATTCGCATTTATTATAATCGCGGGGAAATGCGAAGAGTGCAAAGAAAATTGCTGCCAATTTCCCGCCATAGAACGCGCCCACGACCAGAATCGAAGATGAAATTAATTTTGCAGAGCGCGCAGGAGAGTGCTGCTGCTCAAACTTTGCAATTTGCGGCGCGTTTCCGTTTCCGGTGGGTTTAGCGTGAATGGGGCTCCTCGGCAGACAGACAGGAGGAGAGAGGACATAGAGGAAGATGCCGGATCGAAAGGACCTCCTCGGTTGGTAAGGAGAGCTCCAATTGTCATCCATTTCGTTTGATGTGTCACTGTCGCAGCGCGCATAACAATTTTATTTCCATTTTGCTCTCCACTCGCTTTTTTGTTGCCCGAAACGATTAGCAGCCACTTAGAGCAGTTAAGAGCCCCATTGAGTTTATTAAATCAGGCGTAATAATTGGCACACACACAATGAACTGCGCACCGGGAGAAAAGGGACAACCGGTAGAATAGACAGCGAGGAATCAAAGTATCGAACGTCGATATCGATTTCCAGGCAGCCAGTTCCTACACTGTCAGATCGCGTTTCCAGTCACACAAAAAACACTTTCGTTTCAATAGGAAAACAAATTGAAATAGAATAAATTTCAGGCACCTTCAGAATGGCGGACATGGAGGAATATGGTCGTCCCTCGAAATCAATTGTCGATATATTCGACGAGCTAGGTAAGTCTGCACATCAGTAAAATATGGTACTAGGCAAGGCTGGATAAATGTTATTTTGACCGGCTTATAATGTCTTAATGAATGGCTAGCCCCCATGTTTATGGTAATAAGTTTGACATAGGTTTTAAATTTTAAGATTTTATATCAACACATAAAATTAGGACTCAACGTGATGCATGTTTTCCCATATGGCGTTTAAATCGCTTACGTACCTAGCCTGATCGACGGCAGCTAAAACCAGTTGAGAATTATAACTTCGCCTGAGCAAATTGGTTCACAATCTCAAAATGTATATTTAATGAAATAGAATCTCTAACTGATTTTAACAAAGGGAGAATAAAATGGGGGTTATCCTTTCATACTCATCCCATTCTTAGTGCATTTTATATAAGTTTATTTTGATGTATCTTCGAATAGACCTGAAAAAATGCCATAAAATATTTTCAAATTTTAAAATTAAGATTTGGTAATAGTTAGGTTGAATGTGATCCCTTAAATCAAAATAATTTCCAATACTATTTCAATTTAATTTTTCAGAACGCACCAATGCGACACGCGTGCCACAAGTCCTGCAGCAGTTGGAGAACGTCCTGGAGCCGGAGGACGAAATGCTGCTGGCTGAAGGCAGTCGGCGGGGAAAAAAACCCATTTTCGACTACTAGGACCCCACCAAATTTTCACGTCACAAACCTAACGGGCGACACCTGCCAAGGTGTTGGCCTGGCAATTAATGACTGGCTGAACTTTCCACATTCACGTGCTCGAGCTGAGCAAACAAAGCCATCCAGAAGAGCTGAAGGCGTCAACAGCTACACGCAAGCCAAGGGCTGAACTCTAAAATATACAAACAAATTGTGACAAAGTTGCGGAAATTTAATTAAAATCAAATACAGCCAACTGAGCAAAAGGGGTAACGAATTGGCAGTCAGGTGTGACCCGATAGTTTCTAACACGCTCGCAACTTCGTCTGAATGTCGCTAGTTTTCCGCGTCGTTTAATAAACAAAATGTAAACAAAGTTTAACAGCAATGACACACATGACTCTCCCACTCCCGCCCTTCGGCATTGTTGTTGCCATTGCCATTGCCTTTTTATTAATATAATTTATGAGCCTGTGGTTGTGAGCGGGAAACGACGGCAAGGTGGAAATGCAAACAGACCCAATACAACAGCTGCCTAATTTCACAGCGCATACATTTGATTAACTTAATTTAATAGTATTTCTTTTTTCGCCGCTATCCCTGTTTCGAGCTTAACTTGATATATTTGTTTGTTTATTTAATTTATTATTATAGTTATGACTATGCGCTCTGGTTAACAGCTATAAATTCTATTATATAGTTATCGATCATTTTGAATAGCTGGCTTTTTCTATTAATATCTTTATTTCGAACATTACATTAGTAGTCCGCTGACTTTTTGATTCCTTCAATTTTATTCGCGCGGCAAGAACGTATGCGAGTAAAATCTATTCACGTTTATATAAATAAATAACAAAAATCTTTATTTCTTTTTTCCAAAAATGTTAGCTTAAACGTACAATATTTTCATTAACATTTTCCAAGAATTCATTCTGAAGATTTTTATCTCGAAGTAAACAGTACGTTCAGAAACCTATATTATTTTAAATGATATTTATGTACAAATGATTAAGTTCTTTTATGCTTAAAGAAATAAATGATCTTAAATAATAAGTATGTTCATGTCTAGCTATACATTAAAAATGGTGATATCCAACTGAAGCTCTACAGGAGAAGATATACACTGTATACAAATGTCACAACAATTGGTCTGGGTAGACCAATGGCTAATGAGAACACAATTGGCTGTCCATGCCGATACAGCTGTCCTCTATATAGTATATACCCAATTCTACCTGAACTGCCCAAGGGCCGCATCAGACAAATGAGGCATGAAACCATTATGGCTAGAATCGGTAAACAAAAACCACGGGGCACTGCTCTTTCTTTAATCACGGCCAAAGGAGACGAGTCGTTTGTCAGCGTTTTGCAATCGATAAAATTAGGCGCAGCTTAGCCACATTTTGAAGTCAGCAGACGGGAATATCCTTCAGCATATATCCTCACCTTTTTGAGGAGTCTCAGCTGGAAAGGATCTTCGGTCGGCCCGCTTTGAAATACTTAGCAGGAGCGGGAGCAATCGACACAAAAGTATCGTGTTTCCCAGTTGTCGCCAGCATACCTATTTTAAGAGTATCCGAGTATCCTGTCGGAAATGTTTTCGTTTGCAATTGCATGTTGCGGTGTGCTGGCAATTTATGTCCTGATGATCGGCGATCAAGGGACACCCGATACTCCTACTGTCGAAATGGGTCCTCTCAAGTGGTCACAAATTACAGCAATTACGGAGCGCCCTTCGGTCCCTTTTTGTGGCATCCACAAAATGGCGCTCATTAGGCAGTTCTTCCCACCCACAGAAAGCCAGACAATCTGCGTAATTACTTCGCTGACAACTTTTGATGAATTAAATGCGAAATAAATTTTTAAGTGCGCGTAACGAGCGTTGCGGCTGCTGTGCCAAATGAAATGAAAATACGGCGACAAACAGAGCAGGACGAAAGGCGATTTTCCGCAGCAAGGTGAAATCTTTTCAGAGCGTCTGTTGAGCGGATTTAACTTGTTTAATTACCGCTGTATTCAGTTGAGTTCAGTGCATCATCAACTGTCGCTCATTACGCCGGGATTGCATACATATTTATATTTATAGGGATATATATGTAGCTGTTCGGGTCCAAAATGCTGGCAGTTTTTCAAGTGCACCGCCCACCGTCTCTTATTGCGTCCACTTGCTCTTGTTTTGCGTAACTGTTACCATTTTAATGCGCTCGAGTGTCGAGGACGAAATTGATTTTCGTTACCCATTGTGTTGGGCATTTTGAAGAGCATTTGGCTCTCATAAAAATTTGTGCCTACACAAGGTGAAATTGCACTGAGCTGAGTGCAAATACTATGGAAAAGCGGGGAAGAAGACGGCGAGGCCCTCGACACTCAATTTCGTAGAGCCCCAAATGCGAAACTCGAAGGGCCACTTGATAAATTTCATATATTTATAGCCCGCAGAGAGTGATGCGCTGCATTTGCACACTGAATGAAATTCCATGAGCACACACACACACAAGGACATTTTGGGTGGCCCGAAATGTGGATGGGCGGCTTACCCCGCCCCTTTTGGCCAAACACTTGCACAAATAAAAGATCTACTTCAACTTATTGAATTTTCGTTGATAGAACAAGATGAAAGGCGGCTGGAAGCAGAGTGAATATTAAATACCCTTTTAATATAAGAAAGGCCGTGTGATCATTATTAATGTTTGGTATATTGGCATATTTATAGTAGTTTTTCTGCTTATAATAAGTAGTCTGTTATAGCAATAAAAGATATTGCAAACTTAAAGTGCAAAATAAAATGTTACAATAAATATAACTTTAGTCAAAGTCCAAATAAAATATCGACATATTTTAAGAGATTGACATTTTTAAACAAATTTTTTTTAAGAACAGTTTAACCCTCTTTTAGCTAAAACATCCCAATTATATCATAGGAAGTTATATTTTAAACTCATCCATTTTTAGGTCATACGATTTCTGTTTTTATAAGCTACTTATTATATTACTATAATAATGTGCACATGTTACTTATTATAATAGCGATATCACTTAATCGTTTTGAAATCATTTTTGTTTTAAAAATCGAATATACCCGACACCACTATCATACATTTTATTTAAACAAAATAGAATGTACTTGTATGTATTAATTACGAAAGTTCCGAGAACGTAATCCATATTGCCTTTTATTATTTTATTAATTTAATAAATTCGTTATGAATTCAATCGTAAACAAATCCAAATGGTATAATAAATATTTGGCCAAACTACCCAATTGCGAAAGGGTATGGCAGCCTGCAGGTCCTTCCATTTTCCGGATGTCTTTTGCTACCTTGTACACAAAGGACGCCCAGAAAAGGCAATTGCATATGAGTTTTATGAGAGCTTCTTTTGACAACGCCGGGCTGACTGGTCCCGAATGTTCCTCCTACCCCGGCGTATCCTTTTGACTGTGACAAATCCGTTAAGTCGCGCAATTCACTCATTATTATTGTGCGCCTGTATTTGTGCAGGGAATTTTGCTCTGACCTCGCCCATCACGAAAAGCGACGAGTGGTAAGTGTAATCAAATTCCAACCCGAATCCGGGAATGAACTCTAGACAGGACTGGCTGAGCAGAAACTTGACGGCGTTTTATTATTAAATTTGAGGCCATTGCGCACACAATGCGATATCCTGCAGCGAGCCCGAGCACTGTACGAAATTATTAAAAAGTAATTATGGCACAAATTACGAGATATCAATATAGCATTTAGCTCCGCATGCGGCCCGCTACAAAAGGACTCGTCCTGTTCCCCGTGCAGCCACCACCACTTGAATTCGGTGCAAATCCTTTGGCTCACACATCCCATTGAATTGCATTTCCTCCACGGCTGTCTGGCACAATGCGATAGATTCTCGATTCTTTGGCCCATTGTTCGCCTCTGCTCGCCAACTTCTTGGGCTCCTTCGCCGTCTCTTCACATGTTTTGCAACATTTCCTCCTCTGCTCGGCAAATTTGACATAATATCGAGATTATTATACGATTTGAACTCTCCGCCCTGGCCCATTCAATTGTCGGGGTAGGTCGACTATTCCCGATTCTCGGCCCAAGATCGTTTTCATTTGACTCTGGGCAAAGGAAAGGTCGAGTCGAGTTTGTATACAATCAATTGTAGCATTTGAGCGATTTATAATGAGACTTTGTAGGGCCATAAGCCCTACTTAAGGTACAAACTTTTTGCGATTATTTTGCAGAGCAGCGGAAATCAGGGGGGATCCTGTTGTGGAAAATTAAAAAATTGCTTAGGTTAACGGAAGCTGACCGGGAGATTAACTCTGGCACTGAAGCCAAAAATATGGGGGAACAATACAAAGAATTTAGAAACCTCAACCAACGCGTAGTATATAAGGAATGACTATAAGAAAAATAAATCCCATTTGCCAAATGTGCTAAATTCTGATTCAAAGCAAAAACCTAAAATAAATATTTAAATATCTTCTGTGACTCTAGCTTTAAATGTGTTTATTTCAAAGTTATTTATAACTCTCTAGAGGATACCAAGGTGCATCTCCTTCTTTACAGGTTTTTTGACGAGAGGAATGGACTAGGTGTCAAAATTGCTTTGGAAATTAACTTATTTTAAGCATTTCAGCATTGTTGGAAAGCAAATTTGGCGACTTCATTTGATGCTGTTGTTATGACTGTCTATTTTATTTTTTGAACCAAGAAAAAATGTTACTCGGGAGGAAAAAATAAATTTAAAATGCTCGAAACTTATTTATGGAAAGTACTTATTGTGTGTTCTTTCCATAAATTAATTAGGAGCATTTTGAATATATTTTTTTCCCGAGTATACATTTTTTTTTTATTTACAGTCAGTAAGTGTAAGTCAATCAAGAGATATTTAATTGATCCATTGTAATAGGCAATAGGGCATCACTAACTCGTCTTGGCTAGCACAAATTTTATCTTATAAAATCAAAAGTATACTATTGAACTCCACTGAGTACTCATTTACTTTCACAGTTTCCGCTGGAAATAAATATATGTTTTCAGAAATTCAACATCAAGTACCCTCCCATAAAAGACAACAGTTTTCTTTTCATATCGTTTATTCTTTGACAGTTTTCCTTAGTGGATAGACTACCTTTACTCGCATGCGGCTAATTACGCTCGAAGATCTCTTACAGATAGATAATTCTTTAGGTGTTACGACTACGTTAACTTTGGCCATAGACAAAGCTCCATATATCTTACAATGCGTGGGCTATATAACCATAAATACAACTAGATATCTACATATGTATGTACACAACGAATCCAAATATCACGGAGCATTCAGTCCTCGCCCTTGGTGACCACGGAAACGGGAGTGGAGGCGTTGCTGCTGGCGCCGGCAGCGCTGCTGGGCGATTGG